ACCTCTGGATGAGCTGCCCAGGCTCCAACTGTCACACCACCCATCCTGGGGGCCCATTTGCCCCAGCCCCTGCCTCTGCCCCCCTACCTCCCTCATCGTGGAGGTCTTGATCTGTCCCCCCCCCGCCTTCCCCCCACAACATGCTTACCTACTGGGTGCTGTGTTCCTGGCTGTGTGAGCAGGCTGTGTGCAACATATTGCTGCTGGACTCTGTCTGTGTGTGGCCCCGCCCCCCAGTCTTCCACGTACCATTTCCAAGTTGCCTGCCCCTGCCTCTGCCCCCCTACCTCCCTCATCGTGGAGGTCTTGATCTGTCCCCCCCCCGCCTTCCCCCCACAACATGCTTACCTACTGGGTGCTGTGTTCCTGGCTGTGTGAGCAGGCTGTGTGCAACATATTGCTGCTGGACTCTGTCTGTGTGTGGCCCCGCCCCCCAGTCTTCCACGTACCATTTCCAAGTTGCCTGTATACCACTGGTGGTACGCCTACCACAGTTTGGGAACCACTGCTCTAGATATTTAATTGAGCAGTAGTTAGATTAGGAAATGAAATGCTATCACTTGTAGCCTGTTCTCCAGAGGTTGTGACTTCCCCATTAACTGCTGCTGGGCTCAAGAATGTCAACAACTCAGAATAACAGGCCACAGATAACATTTCACAAAAAAAGTAACAAATTAATCTAGTCATAATTATAAAAAATCTAAGAATTAAATGCACATTAGTGTAATTTTTAAACTATTGTTACAGGTTTGTAATTTAACAATGAGTGCTAATTTGCACCTGGTTTACTTAGACTTCACATTGACTTTGGAAGTGTGGGATTAGGCCTTTACCTGTATTCCACATAATTTGTTTTATAGCATGAAGGGAACGGGTAATAATGGAGTAAAACTGTTAAGTGCAATGAGCAAGTGGTAAATTTATACATTAAGGTGACAATTGTCAATATTCAGCAAGTACAACTTTGAAGTTAGTGTGCTTATAGTTTGGTTCTACTTTGAAAAGTACAGCTGTAAATTTTTCTTTGTCCCATAATTGTTTACTGTCAATTCTTATATCAAATTTGCTTTTGTATATAATTCACAAGTGTTCTCCAACTTACAAAACTCCAGCTAAATTCTGAGAATCAAGCCACAATCTTTCCGTCTGAGTCTGTCTCCTATAAAGGTTGTACATGTCAAATTAGCTCCTGAGTTGGACCTGTGAAATCTGTTGTCATCAAATTAAGAGAGACCTGTGGACCTGTGAGACCTTTATGGTTTTCACTGCTTCTAGGTGCCTTCTGCAATGTTGCACTGGTAGTAGTGAACAGAACTTGGTAAACAATTCTATTTATGATAAATAGCACTGTCTTATATATAACATAATCCTGGAAGTGTTTTAGCATTTTTTTGTATATTTCTGTCACCTGCTGACATAAGTGTCTTAAAATACAAATGATATAAACTACAGTTTTATCAAGTATCAAGTTTTATCATGCATCAAGGTTCTCCTCTAATATTCCAGTCCTGAACTGAAAGCTGAAAGAGTGGCACCAATAACAAGCAATAAATTGTCCATTAAAGGCATGCTACCAGGATGATGTTTACTGTAAGAGTATGGAACATATTCTGTGGCACAACAAGCAGCCTAAATTATCTATGAAGTCCATGGTGTTGTCACCAAACAAAAAACGTTTGGCACCTTGAAGACTCAAATTCTTACTGCAAGGATTAAGCAACAAATGTTGAAGATTTTAGTCAGCTGTTTTACATGCATAATAAATAGAATGTTTTGTAAAATTATTCACTCTCACTGTAGTATAACAGTCATCTTCCTGTCGCACACTATATTTATTGATCAACAAATTTAATGTGTAACATGCAAAATGGTTCTGATACTAGTATTGGGAACATGTCAGTAAGCAAACTCCTTTTACTAAAATTTGGGTCCTACTTTCTTCCTAATCATTTTTATTATTTTGTCACCAAGACAAAATTTTTTTTTCCTACAGAATTCTACTTTGACAATTGAAGAATTTCATTCCAAACTGCAAGAAGCTACTAACTTCCCACTGCGACCTTTTGTCATCCCATTTTTGAAGGTATTGCACAGTTCACTGATCTGGAAACTATTTCAAACCATATTGTTGCTAGGTCACAGATGTGTGTTACAGTTTTCCTTTTTGAGAGAGTCAGGAAAATGAATCTAACATTTAAGGGCTTCTTTCCATAGTTTAATGGATGAAACTCCATTTGATTGAATATTTTCTTTGACCATTTCTTGCTGCTTACAAACTGTCGGTACCGTAATTTTATAGTTTCTTAATTGTTTATATTTTTATCCTAAAAAGTGATTGCCTTGAGTCTTTTATGAGCTAAATCCAAAGACAAAGGCTGCATACAGGCCTTACATTTCTACTGGGAGAATTGCAGCTCTCCTGGTAGAAGCCATGAATATACAGATATTTGTAGAGTTTCTCATGAACCAAAAATGGCTGTTCCAGGTGAAAAATAACTCATCTCCATCCTGGCAGAAGACACTTCCAGGACAGTTTCTCCTGGTAGAATGAATGGCTATGTGCTTCTCCGCCTCTTGACTCCTGGGGGCCAGGAGGCTGACCCCAATCTAGAGAAGGTACAAGAGGGCAGGTGCTCCCACCCCTCCTGTAGACCGGGAGGGGAGGGGAGGAACAGCCACTGCATGATCCCCCATCTACTCCTCACACCAGGGTTCCTGATGAGGTGCTTTGCCCTGCTGCCCCAGTCCCTCCGAGAACAGGAGGGCTAGAGCAGCTGTAATATCCCACGCTTTCCCCAGACTAGGATCTCCTTGGACTGAGGAAGGAGTGATGAGCAGGGGAGAGGGCACAGTTGCATGCTGAATTACTGTGCTGCATTTTTAGAGATGGAAAATTACCACCAGTAGAAATGAACACCTGTTTGCAGCCCCAGTTATTTACTAAGTAACACTAAATTCAGAAGACTAGATTTGCATATTTTGCATGGCTAAGAGTAAATGTTAGTATGGTCATCTGTTGTTGTACACTAAATATACTACCCCTGCATGATAAGTATGTACAGCACAGCAGTATTAGTCACAGACTAATCTTTCTTTTCTTGTCCCAGCCACATGACATGGGTGTCAGTACAAGAGTTTATACTTTTGTCAGATAGCTGGGGCAGTATCCATTGATTCCAGTAGTAACTTCTGCATATTCCAATGTATAAAAAGAATCAAAATGTAATAAAATGTCATCTAGAGCCTGATGCAGCCAATTAATAAAACACAAAGCTAGACAGAAGTAGGATGAGGACCAGACTAAAAGATCTGAACCCCAAGGCAGGTAAGAACATTATCCTCCCTCTCATTGTGTCTCTCTCATTGTCTGTTAGTAATTCCTCTTTTAATGACTTTCTAAATGTGCAGTCCCATGTTCTCATAACGTTTCTTCCTGCATTTCCTGTTTGCTATGGTGTGTTTTTTACTCCCATTGTTTCTCTTTGTCAGTTTGTGTGTGGGCTCGTGCTGTTTCTTGTCAGCACACGAGTGTGTCAGTAGCTGTCTGGATGTCCTTAAGATCCAGAGTTGTTCTGTTTACAGGTGCAGATAGTTATAGTTGTTACTTTGGTAGGTTGCCATCTGTTGTGTTTTTTTTTTGGAGTATAGTATCCTCTCCCAATCGCAGTTGTGGTAACTCTTGCTGTACTTATTGTTTGTGTTATGAGTTTTTTATAGCTACTTCAGGTTTTGGCTACAGAAGTCAAATTGCTTAGGATTTGGCACTAAAGAGTTTTTATTATTCTGCTCATAAGTCTTTGACCAGTAAAGCAATGGGTGATGTGTTGTGGTATTCTAACAATGTTAGTTTATGGATCCTGAGAATCTGCTAAAGCTGTGTGCATGTGTCAAGGTCTTTGATTTTCTCTGACTTTTTGGCTATCACATTTTACTGTACATAATAAGGTCCTGACATACTGTGTTTGAAGTGTCTTGTAAGTTTGAAGATGGTGTTCTAATATGAAAGTCACGCTACTTCATAAGGCCTTATGTAATACTAAGTCCTTAGTGTTTAATTTCAACTTAAATTTTGCATGCGGCCCTCTGCGTTGCTTTGAATATCATTCATAATTACCTGGGAGGGCTTGTTATCTAACAAAATTGATAATATCTCAGTGATGTGCTTAAGTTACCTATATGATGGTGCCATGATTGTCTGAGAGTGTGCTCTCCAGCCAGCATGCTGATCAGGGAGCTGTTAAAGCTAGGCAATAGGAAACACTGAGTTCAGGGGTGTGTCTTAACTCCTAGAGAATAAGATTTGCCAGACTTTCTCCACTCACATATCATATCCTAATCCTTTCCTGGAGTTAGACTCCTGAAACAAACCTTCCTTTCAAACACCAAGATTGGGTCAATACTTTGTTTCAAAAATAGTGGTTGTGGTACCTTCCCTTCTCTATAAGTGGTTGAAGTAGTCACGCAGTATGTGGGAGGATCTGTTTTCAGATTCTTTCTCTATGTTGAAGGGATTTGAATCCACTTCACACACCTCACAGGAGAATATTTTTAGCAAACAAATTAAAGGTATTTTGGAGTAGTGGCCTCTCCATTCAAAGCTATTCTATGTTGAAGGAGTTTATTGAACCAAGGAGAGGGGGAAGAATATGAAAAAGACTATTTCATAGTTCCTGGAGTGCTTACCTGGAAAGAGGACTGAATTCTAGTCCTGTTTTAATGACACCTTACTGTTTTATATTAAGAATTCATTGTGTAACCTAGTGCTATCTTTTTTTGGCAGGACTGTACAGACTTTATTGGGCTACAGAGTGCTGCTCAGTTCTCTCTCTCAAGTAACATTAATTTAGTCTTTCACAAATCCTGGCCTGATTTAGCATTTATTTTTTGCAAAATGGAACAGTTGCAAAGAGGGAGATTTGGGCTAGGGACAGAAGTTACACATAAACTGGTTTAAGTGATCAGAAACAGTTTAAACCTGTAATAGAACAGAAATTCAGTGCACATAAACCACTTTCAAAATGGCTGAAACTGGTTTAAGATAAGCCTGGTTCAATGTAGTATCAAACTTAACTGTTTACTGTAAACAAACCAGTTTACAGAATTTCTGTCCCAGATCCCTTCCTGGTTTAAGTTATCTGACAGTCCACCAGCATCCCAGGATGCTTTGCAGCGCTGGGCTGGGCTGGGCTGATCTGATCTGATCTGGGGAGCAGGGTTGCTCCCAACCCTCTCCTCCCTAGCCCGAGCACTATCACTGCTCTGGCTGGCTGAGAGGGAGTGGGGGAGGGATGAGCGGTGGATGGGAGATGTGGCCAGATGCTGGCCCTGGGCCTGAGGCCAAGAGAGGGAAGGAGAGGTCCAGCCAGTGTTGTTGCAGGCAGAAGCACAGGAAAGGTGGGCAGGGGTGAGATGCTCCTGGAGGGATCCCAGTGCTGACCCCTGTGTGATGCAATAATGGGAAGAATGTGGGGCATTTAAAAGTGGGCACCAGAGCCGGGAGCACATGTAGAGTGGCTTCTCTTCCCGCTGGGGCCATGCCTGGGTCATGCCAGAGCAGGGCCAGTGTCCCGGGGGGAGGGGAATGCAGTGGCATGGATCAGGAGACAAGAAGGGATCCCTCTCCCCCACCCCTGCTGCCAGCTCTGCCTGAGTCACTCACCCACCTCTGAGGAGCTGCGGCCGCTGCTGGGGAAGTTCTGGTGCTCGCCCGCAGAGTTACTGGGCATTGCAGCTGCCTCTTTTAGACCACCTGGCCTGGCAGCCAAGCCAGCTGCTGTGAGTAGCAGTAGGGCTTGACATGGCCAGGAGCAGCAACAGCGGCAGGTCCCCTGGGAGGAGCCAGCCAGCCCCTGTGGCACCTGGCGCCTGTACCTGAACTCCCAGCAGTTCTGCTGCCACCGTGGGGCTGTCCCAGTCAAGTAGGATGCCTGAGCACAGCAATTGGAGCAGTTGCGCAGGGCCCAGGGGCAGCAGCCAGAGCAGTGCAAGCAGGGAAGTGGCCCCAGGGTCTCCCTGGGCAGAGAACAGGGTCTGTGCAGCACTGGACTCTGTTTCACTTCATTGGGGGAGGAGGGGTGTGACCCTCAGCTTCATGCAGCCCCTTGTGCATGTCCCAGCATGGAGCTGACTGTCCTGGCAGGGAAACAGGTCCTGGGCCTTTCCCTCCCTTCTTTCTCCAGTAAAACAGGGGCCTGAAACGCTCCATTCTTGAAGGAGCAGCGCGGGGGGCTCCTCTGGATCAGGTCATGTAATCCTAGAGGAATGGGGCTAAGAGGGAACTGCAGGTGTCACATCTAGGCCAGCCCCTGCCTGAGGCAGGAGAATCCCTGTCCAGACCATTCTGTACACACCCCTACTCTACACAAGATGACCAGCAGCTCTGACACAAGGCTCCCCCTGCCTTAGCTGCTTCATCTGCGAACAGGGTGGGGAAAAGCCAGGCAGTCCCTGGCTGGGGACCCTACAGGCCAGGGTGCGGGTTTAAACCCCTCCCCAGTCATACTCAGTGTCCTGTGAGGGCCTGGCCATGCCACCCTTTCCCCCCCCCCCCCCCCCCACTTCCCCCCACCCCCCCCCCCATCAGCTTCCCTCCAGCCTTGTGGCTGCTGCAAGAGAGAAGGGAGGGCTCACTGTAGCGTCCCCTGGCTTCTAGCCTGAGCCACTGCAGGCATGTGCCTGCATTTCCGGAATCAAAAGTGAATGTCTATTCACTTGGTTCCTGGTTCAGTCTATGCAGGTTAGACTAACCTGCAAAGATTGAATCATTTCAGGCTCAGGCTTTTTTGAATGTCTGTACTTAGCCTAAAAGAACCACCTCCCCCACCCCTCCTCCCTACAAATCCTCTATAGCAGCAGTATAGCGATGCAGCCTGGCTCCCAGGCCAAGGCAGAAATAATCGCTTCCAGTTGCAGCTGTGTTGGTGAGTTTGGGAATGCGTGGCTGCTGGCAGTAATTTTAATTCCCCCCCCAGCCAAGTCCGTGCCCAAGGTGTTATCCCTCTCACTCACCTCTGTCCTGCCCTCCCCACCTCCAGTTATGTCACTACCCTATAGCATAGTATTTAGTGCACTCTTCTGGGATGT